TTTTTTTTTTTTTTTTTTTTTTTTTTTTTTTTTTTTTTTTTTTTTTTTTTTTTTTTTTTTTTTTTTTTTTTTTTTTTTTTTTTTTTTTTTTTTTTTTTTTTTTTTTATTCAGGATGGTTTTCAGCAGAATAGCTGTTCAGAAATTACTTGCTAGTAAATGCCGGTGTTACAGCATGGACGCGCCTGATGATATGGTCCTTGGGATGTGTTTCAGTGGCCTAGGAATCCCTATAACACATAGTCCACTTTTTCATCAGGTCAGAGAGTTATGTTTAAGTATTTAAAATATATTGCATTTTTTAAGTATGTGTATAAAACAGAAATCAGAAATACTGCAAACTTCAATAATATGCAGGTAACCAAGATGCTGCTGCTATACCTTGTTTCTCTGCAGAACAAGATTGATCAAGCAAATAAGAACGTTCTCAAAGCATGGATCACTATAATGCTTTACTAGTTATGATATTTCAGTTAACCTATAACTTCATTTTATAAAAAATGCAGAGGTGGGTATTTTGAAAAACAAATAGAATTAGGAGCCACATGCTTTGAATAGTTGTCATATGTCCTCTAAGAAAGTTAAAAAACCCACAATAATTTTTTCTTCAGGTAATGGAGAACTGACCATGACATTTTTCAATAAATCTGCCTTGTCTACTTACCCAATTTTTTTTTATTGATTCAGTATTTACTATTCTGAAATATCTCCTAAGTAAAGATAGATTCCACAATATTTAATAAGTTAACTGTAGTGTCATGGTTGAAAACGTGATACATTGAGGCCTATAGAGATTTTCTGCCTTGTAAACCAAATCCTTCCATGATATTAACAGAAGCACTAAAGATTTTTTTTCCCAAAAAGTGCACAACTTCTTTAAAAATCAGCATGTAAATTAGTGTAGTGTTTGGTATTTTTCCAGTGTGAGTTCCAGTTTAAAAACTGGGAAGACCTGTTTATCTGAATATGAACTGAGATTAAGATGACAGGCTACTTGACAATTAGTAAATTACCATGTGGTTCAGATTAGCTTCAGTGGAATGGGGGGTGTTCCTTTGAATTACCAGTTTTTCCTATGTTAATGTTCTCTTTCTGATTACATTTTCTATTTGGAGAAATGTGAAGACTGAGAATACAGTATTCAATAATTTAATTCCTTGTCCATTTACAAAACCCATATCTTTACTTTCCTGTTTTGTTTGTCATTGCTTGCTCCTTTAAGTATAAAAAGAAAGGAAGTAATGCACTTTATAAAATCAACAGTTATTGAATAGTTTGTGCTTGCACAGATGTTTTTAAAAAAAAACCCAAACCAACCTACTTAAAATGAAGTCAGAAAGGACAGAACTCATTTTATAGAAAAAACACAACGCACCTCCTTGTAATCCTTACTGGTGTGCATTTGATACTGAATTGATACTGAATCACTGTGAAAGTGAAATCCTAACAGTTTAATTTTCCACATAGAAAATTACACTTGATTTGTACTTCATCACTGCTGCTTATAACAAGTTCTGATTTGACATACCTTGAACAAAAATTAACCCTGGGGAGAAAACTACTGAATAAAAATTGAGTGTGCTTATTCTATAAATTCCACTGTTATGTAAATGAGAAAAAAATGAGAAAACCAATTTTGGATTTTCTGTCAACCAGAAAATTATTTTTTTAAGGCTCGGCTGAAACATGATGCGTGGTGTTCCTTGAAGTACGTGAATTCAAAATTGTTCTGAGATATATATTATGAAACAGAAGCAAAGATATCTTTGTCCTTAGAGTGTCTGTGATGTAACGGTGTTTGCTCACTCCTACTGTTTTCCTGTTGGCTACATGCTAAGGTAGATACATGCATGTTCCGTAACTTGTTCCAGAGGCTTTTGACATGATGAGTCTCTTAAAGAGAACAGGAACCTTCCCATGTTGAGTAGCAGCCAGGATTGTGATCTTAAATGTTAAATCTGTCCAAGAGCAGTGTATTTGGCTTTTCTGAAATAGCAAATACAAATTCTAGAAAAGAAAATAAAAAGGAAAAAAGAAAAGAGCAAATATTACAATAATAGGTTCCACAAAGTGTGGGGAGGGAAGAAGAAATTATATCTTTTAAGTTTAACCACCTGTAAAGCTATATGATTTTTGGAGAGCAATGTGATAAAAATTATGCAAAACACCAAAATTTTATATATAGCTCAATACAGGGCTGTTTGATTTTTCAAACAGCAAAAGTCTTTGGTCCCACTTATCTAAAAACTGCCTCTATCCAAAGTAAATGCTTTAGATTTTTGAAACCTAAATGTTCTTCAAAGTGTGTTTCAAAAGTCCTGAGGGATATAGGCTCCCTCTTGATTTCTCCAGTGGAGTTTTTAAAAATAAGCACTCTGTGGTTTAAATATCAAAGTTTAAAAAACCACCAGCAACACATATTCAGATTTCTTAATGTCAAATTCTGTTGCCTAATTTTATGGCTGGAGTATATACAGAACTGCATGAAGAACACTGCACGTAGAATTCATAAATGTCACCATAAGTAGGTGAAGTTTGCAGTACTGAATGAGATTAATTATTGGGTATCCAAATCGCTCCATTTTCTTTGTGTGCTTTACGTATAGAAAAAACCACAACAGTTTGCCTTTTGTGCATTTCTCCTTACAAAGACTCTATTTATGGTGACAAAACATAGTTATTTTATCAGAAGCCAATAAAGGTGGGGCTTTTTTATTTGATGATGCACTTAAGAGCCATTAAACTGTCAGAGAAAATGAAACGCGCATGGTGCATTAAGACAGCAGCTGCATCCTGGAGCTGTGTCGTATTTCTGTCTGGCTTGATACAGCCTGATAAAAAATAACAGTGCAGTTTTCTGGTGCCACAATGTGTCCCACTTTTGAAACCTTTGCTATCATAAAACTTCATATGTTTTGGCTGCTAATGGCCTCATTAGGATCCTAAAATCGCACTGGCAGTGCTGGCCACTCTCATTAAGAGGAGGAGGAAGAGAATATTACTTAAAATTATTTTGTCATTATTGAGCCAAACTCCCATATTAAAAAAGATGCAATACAAACTACACTGTTTGTCACTTGTTTTCATAGCTGGTGACCATTTGATCCTGAGAAATAGGACATATTTAGTATCAGTGTACTTCATTCATAGCATGATGACTGCAGTGTAGGTTGAAGATTTAAACGAATGCCTATCAATGGGTGTAATAGAAT